GTATGGTAAGTAAAGCATGTCATGTGTGAGCCATACTGTCAATGTCAACTTAACAAGTTTGTTTTGTATGTTTTTGCTTAAATACGAGTATAAATTAAAAACTTTGGTTTTAATATTAAAATACTTTTTATGGATAAAAATCTATATTATTAATAAAACTAAAAACTCGCTTTTTAAGGCAATAAATTGTTAAACCAGTTCCTAAATAAACAAATATAAGGCATTTTATTTACATTAATATTATTTACAACATCTGATTAGGCATCCACGCCCTTTTATTGTCTAAGGAGTAAAAAATACGTTATGAGGTATATATACAAATGTAAGTGTCTGCATATAGAAAAAAAACAATTTTTTACAATATCACGAAAACCAAAACTGATTGAGGAAAATAATGGTAATTGTTGGATTCTTTAGATTCGTTTAGGATAAGTAATTGAAGCAATTTTCATTTTAATGTCAAATCTAATGTTTATTAAAACTAAAATTATGGAATAACTATGGTGAATTTAAAGAAAAAAAAATTATACAATTTTGAAATTTTTTTTAAAGTTTGTTAATGTGCTCTTATTTTTGTTTTTTTTTGAGAAATTGTTAAAGAAAAAAGAAATTACTATTGACATTTAATCAATCCATCTTTTGTGGCCAGTACAGGGTGATTTCAAGAAAAAAACATTTTTATTTTAAATTAATTTTTTTTCTTTATTTATTTTGTATTGCATATTTTATATTATTTTAAAATGGAGTTTTTTTACAGTGATTGCACCGTAGCAAAAATTAATATTAGTTTTTAGTGGATTAAAATGCCGTTCCATTGTTATTTTTAAATTGCGAAAAGTAATAAATGTTATGGTATTTACGAAATGGAAAACTGCATACAATTTCAAATTTGATTACTTTTCAAGCTGTTTTTTAATCAATTTGCCTAAAATATTTATTATTATTTACACACTGTGTGCCTGAACGAAATTTAAGTCACATAAAAATGCCGCCAAAAACTGATTGCAGTTTCTTGCATATTTACCAAAATCCTAGCTGCTTTTTTCGAAATTTTTGTTTATCTTAAAGTCTACCTTTGACAGAGTACACATTTGTGCATCGATTTTTATAATATTGGAGTATATTGTTAAGGAGATTTTGAGAATACTTTTTTATACCGTGCACATCATTTAATATATATTGGGTTAGCCAAAAATCGGTTCTTTTAATAAAGCAAAAGCGTAACTTCATGATTTTGGCATAACACGCAAAACAGATATATACCCACCCATGTTTTTTTAGATATTTTTATAAAAAAGTGATTTTTGGCTAACCCTGTATAAATCTAATTATTAGTATGAAAAATATAAATCTAATTATTAGTATGAAAACAGTATTTTCCAAGTCTCGTTAACAATATACTGCAATATTATAAAAATCGGTGTACAAATGTGTACTCTGTCAAAGGTAAGATAAACAAAAATTAAAAAAAAAAATTCAAAAAATTTCTAGGATTTTGGTAAATATCATTTTAAAGTTACCAAAGGGTCCCGAACAAGAAACTGCAATCAATAAAAATCGGTGTACAAATGTGTACTCTGGCAAAGGTAGACTTTGCGATAAACAAAAATTAAAAAAAAAATGATTTTTTAACAAATTTAAAAAAAGCAGTTAGAATTTTGGTAAATATCGTTTTTAAATCTCCAAAGAACGCGAAATCAAAAAACTTTATTCAAAATTGAAAACTACTAAAAAGCCTAAATTAAACAACATTTTAAATATTCTCTAAGAGTTATTTTATGTATTTTTATTAAAAATCCATTTTTTTATAAAAGGTTAATAAGAATACCATTTTGTAACCTGATAAACGTAGAAATATCTAAAAAAAAGGGGATAAATCTTTTTTGCGTGGTATGCCAAAATCATGATTTTACGCTTTTGCTTTATTAAAAATATCAAATGATGTGAACAGTATTAAAAAGTATTCTCTTAGTCTCCCCAATAATATACTCTAATTTTATAAAATTCTGTGTACAAATGTGTACTCTGTCAAATGTAGACTTTTAAATAAACGAAAATTTAAAAAAAAACATGAATTTTCAAAAATTTTTGAAAATAGGAGCAGCTAGGATTTTGGTAAATATCATTTTTAAGTCACCAAAGAGTCCCAACAAGAAACTGCAATCAGTTTTTGGCGGAATTTTTATTTGACTTAAACTTCGTTCAGGCACACCGTGTACATACAAATACACATTAGTCACTAATGATGTTATTAGTCACCTGGGGTATTTAGCACAGTTAAGATTTGATATAAATATATTTATATCAAATCTTAATATACCCTATAGGGTATTCAAAAAGAGGAAGTTATTATAGTTTTCAATATACAAAAATAGATACAGTCCAAATAAAGCTGATGCTGACATTGTTGACATATGTTGCTTCTTTCTGACAATTTGTTTTATTAACAAATTTTAACTATAAAAACTAATAAACTAATAAAAATTAAATGAATATTTTATCAATTGTTTTAATTTCTTAATCAATCTAAAGTAGGTACAGAAAAAACATAAATATAAAATGTGCTAAAATTACAAATATCCACATCTTTAAACTTTTTTTAAAAGAAAAAAAATCCAAACAATAAAGGAAGTTTTGATTACGACAAGAAATCTTTTATTATTTTTTAAATTGCTCCGTTCGCTTAGAATTGAACCTTGCACTAATAATTTCATACAAAGGAATCAACATCATACCGATATCGTCAATTCTTATACCAACATTTTAGATTTACACGCTTTAATACGATATTTAATTAAACTCTTCATAATTATTAAGAATATACAAAGCCATAAGTTTATATTTTTATAAGGTTAACAGGTTAAAATTCCTGCCTCAACGGATTTATTCTTTAGTGGTTTAAGTATGCCGCTCCATATTCTAAATACGAGGTGTGTTCAGAAAATATCGGGAATTTTCGTTTTTTGAAACAAATATTTATTTATTCGTCTACATTAATGTTGTCGCCTTCAAAATAGTCCCCATTGGATGTTATGCAAATGTGCCAGCTCTTCTTCCAATACTCGAAACACTTCTAAAACTCGATCTTTGGGATAGCCTTTTGTTCTTTCAGCGATGCGCTTTTAATGTCATCTATGCTTGCAAAACGACGGCCCTTTAAGGTTCTCTTTATTTTTGGGAATAGGAAAAAGTCAGACAGAGGCATGTCTGGCGAATATGGAGGCTTGGGCATCATTACAGTATTGTTTTTGGCCAAAAATTTTATTCAAAATCTAAAAATTTTGGAACAAATTTTGCTGCCACGCGTTTCATACCCAAAACATTCGAAAAAATTTCATGGGATGAGCCAATCGATATACCAACATCATCAGCGACTTCTCTGATGGTTTACAACCATTTCTTCCACTTTTTATCGGTTGTTAATGTGATTGTGCGTTCGGGGCGTTCGTCATCTTCAATGTCTTCACGACCATCTTGGAAACTCTTATACCACTTGTAAACTCTTGTTTTACTTATAGCAGACTCACTATAGGCCTTTGTTAACATTTCACAGAATTTATTTCATTTTTTAAGCAAAATTGGATACAAATTCTTTGATACATTTCTTTAACGAACGAAAAATCGCCGAGCTCATAAAACACGTCTAACCTTAGCGACTGCCACAGATAAAGTTAACAATGAAAACATAATAAAGAAAATTTTATGACAACCGGACCCTACGAACCCGCGAAATTTAACAATTCCCGTTATTTTCTGAACACAACTCGTAAATGTTTTTTGTCAAATTGGTTAAACAACCTAACTTACTGAATGTCTACTTGGAAAACGACTGATTTATCGAACATGAGACACTCAGTAAAAATATGAGAGGAAAAAGCATAAATAATAATTTTAAGTCCAATAAAATGTAAATGAAAAAAAAATGTTTATTTTCTTTACCATGTTTTGGTAAAAGGGTGACATGTGGCCTTTTCAATATCATTTAATATTCACCAAATGGTAAACACTTTAAAATGGGAAATGCAATACAAAATAACATTTTAGGTTAAACGATAAAAACATTTATCTCCACGCGGTCTATAATTTAAACTTGTTGTCAACATTCGATAAAGAAATACATTGTTATGGCCTAGGCCGATAAAAAAATTTATGAGGCAAGTAATTAGTTCGATTTTTTTCTCGCTAGGGGTATTGTTTTGACAAATTAATCCTTTTCTAAGAAATTAACGTACTAAACTGGTTTAATTTATTTATAATAAGCACTAATTTGTTTGTTTTACTGTTTATGTTTAATATTTTTCGTTAAATTATTGTAATATTAAATATGAATAATAAAACAAAAAGTGAGGTTAGGCAACCAAGAAAACGCACGATTCCTTTTCTACGATTTAAATTATCTTTAAGTTTTAATTTGCTTTAAGTTTTCAGTGAAATTAAATGTTAAACACAGCTTAAACATTCCAAACTAACTATTTTTTAAATAAAAATCCAAACAAATTGAAATTAGATACCTACCTATTTATTAAACAATTAATTGAATTCAATGTAATAGCAAAAATCCATTTCTACTTAAATCATGTTGCTAGGTATTGTCAAACTATTACTGCTTCTAAAAGCAATAATAATTATTGTACATGTAATCTTTAGCTAATAAATAAATGAGATTCTAAAAAAGTGAGGTTAGGCCGCTTTGATGTTGAATTAAATTGAGCTATATAAAGTGCTTTGAAGATAAAATGTTGTATGCCATTCGGCCAAGAAGTGCCTTTTTGTGCTTCGCTCAATTTTCTTCAAACCTTGAGCTTAGCCCAAAAAGCCTTACTTCTTAACCTAATGACATAAATAACTATTATATAAATAATGGGGTAGCTTATACTTTGTATAGTCTCATTATCTTTTCATTTGATGATTTTGACTTATAAAATAAATATTTTGTCACAACTAAAACTTCTTTGTTCAAATTCCCTAGACTGTTAAAAATTAAGAAAATCTTTTTGTAGTGGTTGGTCGCCGAGGACTTCGCTCTGACAGAGATGCACCGACCACCGACCCCTGGGCCACCTCCAGCCTATGACGTAGTAGTGCCGATTACAAAAGAAGATCTCGACTTGGAGAAAACGGACGAATCTGGACTTCCTACGTACGAAAGTGCGGTCCAATTGAGTAACGGATACGTGTAAAAATAATAACTATGAAATCACAAAGTGAATAAATCTATACCTAGTGGAGAAGTATCAGAACATTAAACAACAATGTTTTGTTTAACATTTTTAAAAATAAAACAGCAGCAGATATTTTTTTGTAAATAATAAATAGATTTTTCTATTTTAAATAGCACAATTAGGTAATAATTATATTAGATTTATGTAAGCTTACAAAAAAGCATTATGTTTGGTAACGTCGAAATAATAAAAAATTGCCTTTAAAATAAATGAGGTAATTAATTAATCTCTTAATGGAGATTAATGAAACTTTAACCATTCTTATGAGAAGAAAATAAATGAACACCATATTTCAAATAATAAAAATTAATATTATTAAAAAATAAAAAATGTGGGTTAAGATTTATTTATTTTAAAGAAAGCAACATTGTATTATTATTTGAATCTTAAAAAGTCCAAGTAAATAAAAAATTAGTTTTACATACGCCATTTTAGTTACGAGTTTAATTAAGCAAGAGCGAAGCTTGCGAGTAAAAGCGAGTGTCCAGAGAAGTTTATAAACGAGTTACGACGAACAAAAAACAGAATTTAAAAACAATTTTATTTGTTAAAAATCTGTCAACTGTCACCCGAGTTTAACCTCACTTTTCCAAATTTATAATAAAGCTAACTTCAGCCCTTGACTAAAACGCCATAAAGTCAGAGCTAGTCAATGTAGGAGTTATTTGATTTGCGAGTGTTGAAAAGCGACTTTTTCATGCGAGTGTTTAAGTTGCTCACGAGGTCGTTCATTAACACGAGCTTGAAGAAAGCTTTTCTCACATGTGAAATAAAATATTTTTTCTACGACCCATTTATTTTTTATTATATTCAAATACAAAACAAAATAATTAATTTCTTTTCACACAGACCTGTCACTTTTCATACAAAAATGTCACTTTACATTCGAGTTTTGCCTTGCCAATGAAAATATTCATTTTCTAGGCACTAATGCCATTATTACGAAATGGGACTTTTAGTGGTCGTAGAAAAAATATTTAAAATATTGACAAAAATGGCGAATGCGCCAGTGTTAACCCAGGGTCTTATGTACACTATACATAATTATATTATAAAAAAAACATTCTTACTATTTTATATTACTTACACTTTTTGTATTATACAGGATGTCTCATAAATTGAGAAGTTCATACCACGCGATATTTATTCTACATTTAAGGCAGCTGAGGTTAAAATGGTCGACAGATGTATTTCCTAATATACACTGTTTAAAATATCTGTGGTGTAAAGAGTAATCTTAAAATATTGTCAAAATCCAACACCAAGTGGTGTTAATATAAACACCATGAATTATGGTTGAAAATGTTATATACAGCAAACACCAAAACGGTGTTTATCTAAAAATATTTGAGAAGTGCACCTACACAGAAAAAAAGGAATAGTTCATTTAACTATATTAATTTAGTTGACCCATAAGTATTTATTTAAATCAACTGTGGGAAGGTTAATATAAACAAAGATTAGTTTGACAGTACTAAACCAGATAGTTATTTTTTTTTAAATTGGTTAAATTAACCCAGAAAACTTTATTGAAACCAACCCGCTGTATGGTTCAGTTTACTAAATATGTTGTTTGTAAAATAAGAGTTACTCCAACCTAAAGCACTCTGTTAAAACGATTAAAACAATTTGCCGTGCATTCCTGGTTGCATAGTGTGTACCGATCGCGGCAAAGGTGGTGTGGATCACGTGATGTTCTTAAATCTGTTGACTTACATGAAGAGTATATAAGCTCAGGTAGTCCTTTGCTTTGGTGTGACACTACAAGTTGTTCAAAGGTTCAATTTTCTGGAATAATACAATATACTAGTAATGCGTCAAGGAACTTCCTGTTTCCTTTTTTTCTGTGTAGTATGATTTAATTTGACCAAAAACACATAATGTTTAACCCTGAAAAGGAGTTCAATTTACACCAGGTAAAATTTATTTTAATACTGTGTGAAAGTTAAATTTACACTATTTTAGTATTTGAATTTACACTGGACCAACGAACCATATTTAACACTATTTTGGTTTGTATCGATATAGACCATGTATGGTGTTAATTTGGTGTTAAAATGGTCATGAAATTTTGAACAGTGTATTTCTTGTTCTTGATAAAAACTAAAAATTGTATTCGCCGCGATGTATATTTCGTACACGTAATAAATTTTAATTAATTAGTTAAATTAATTAATAATAAATAAATATTAAAAATATAATGAAAAAATCATATCTTTAAGCGTTCTATAATTTAAAATTTATTATTGCCAACACTTACTTCTAAAGTGATTGATTATCGCCTAGGCTGTAAAAATAATTTAGACCAATCTTGACTTTACTTTTACATCATATTCTGTTAAAAAACCCATTTGGACCAATACAAAAATTTGAATACTGTCAGATCTACATAACCTCACTTTATACTTTCAATAATTGTTATTATAATTATACGTTTCATGTATTGTTTAACAAATAAAATTATGCATTGAAGATAAAATATTGTATGGCATGCGGCTGAGAAGTGTCTCAGCCTAATGTCATAAATTAGTATAATTTTAAAATTATTATTGTATTTTTTATACTCAAAATATTCTTTCTTATGTAAGGTAAGGTACCTTCATGATACATGTATTATATTATTGTATATGTATGTATTAGTATTTATGTACTACTGTGGCCAAAAATTAATGAACTTTTATAAAGTAACATGTTTTTTTTTAAATTTGCTGTTGTAAATGGAAATTTTTACAAACGTTAACTCAATTAAATTATTATGACTAGAAATCATTGGCGTACCTCATGAGTCATGAGTCAGCGGACCACTACAACATTAAAATAAATTTAAAAAAACCTTATAGGAAACAATTTTATTCAAGCCAAAAACAAAATTAACTTCTTAGTGTTTATCGGGCCTCCGAAATAAGTAAATATAAAGCTATTTATTTTATTTTATATAAACGCCAATATTTTTAAACTTTAATTTCGCCGGCAGTAAACTAGATTTAACTTAATTTCGGAAGGTAACTCCACCGTTGTGCCAATAAAACATTTTATTTACTTTCACTGGGAACAACTGCTTCTATATCGGATTAAACGGTCCATTTTCAAGGGATACATATTAATTTCCACATACAAAATTTACATTTTCACCGGCGCGCCCGTTATACAGATTCCAAAGTTGCTTACTCTATTGTTTTATAGATGTCGCTCTACATAAATATTTAATTTAAATCATTTAAAGTTAATTTTAAGTTAATAAGTATAAGTATTTGTCGTAGAAACACTATAGTATACTATATATATGCAACTTGTTTATAAAGATTTCTAGACACTCATTTAATTAAGCTCGCTCGTGCCTAAATTAAATTCGTGTATAAAATGGCGTTTACAAAACAGAATATACTATTAATGCGAAAGGCCCACTCGCTTTAAGGCTTTTTGGCACTCGGACAGTTAACCATATCTTGCCTTTCTAACAGATGCTGGGAAGTTGTTTATCTTGGATGCCCAGAACTCTTTACCCTAGTCAGATCACCAGTTTCTACCCACTTTTTGTTTTATTTTTAAATTGAGCTTTTGTTGCAATTCATTAGATCTTCTAAGTGTTTAAATTTTACACTGTTCACTTAAGATATGGAAAGGTATAATTAAGTAAGTAATACATTTACTTATAAGAGAGAACCATATTTACAATGGGAACAACAGTGGATTACTTTTTTCGGCCGAAGTAGCACATATAGTTTTAGCTATTTAAAAAAACTATACTATAATTTTGAACTTAAATAACAAAAATGACTTAATATTTAATAATAAAAAGCTGATTTCCAGTAATCAATATATATTATAATACTATTAGAATTTACCAAATCTTTTTTAAAACCTCATTTAATCAGGGTATAAGGAAATAAAAATCCTATCGAGGTTTTTAATTGGGGATTAAATTTAAAATTAAAATAGACTTAAATAATTTTAAATAAAACATATATGCATTAATTGAATAAAAAAAACTAAATCAACCAAAAACTAATTAAATTGCGTACGAAAAACAACACCTTATTTCAAATGCCATTGAATTTAATTTGTAGGTAAAACATTTAAGAATAATTGAGGCGTTTACTGAAAAAGCGGCCCAACTGAAAAAAAAACATTTTGTGTTATTATCTTAAAATATTCCTATTATGCGCTTATCGAGTGAACTAGCTTAATAAAGTGTGTTTTAATATAAATAGTAGTTACAACTCTTTATAATATAATAGGAATATTTTAAGATAAAATCACAAAATATTTTTTTTCAGTTAGGGCGCTTTTGCAGTAAACGCCTCAATTATAATCCACTTTTATTCATTCGTCATTAAATTATAGCGGTCGTATATACTTTTGTATATGAGTACCAAATTATAGCTTAAAGCTAAATAATAGTATATTATTATTCGAATGATAATGCAGACTATTATACACGAGGATGAGGTTTGTGTCTCGAGTCGCCAGACGAAAGACCTAATTCATCCGAGTGAATATTTGCGCATAATGATTTTTAAAAATAAATAAATAAAATCTGACATCTGTCAAAAGGTTAACCTTACTTTTTACCAATTTTAAATGTTACTATGATCGCCTTCTCCTAATTTAAAACCCGATAGGTTTAAATCACAGTGAATATTATAATGGGTCAATCTCTGATGCCTAGCAACGTGAATAATGAGTTCATTATTCCCGTTGCTAGGCAGGAAATGTATAATGTTTATCATTATTCACGGGAAAAAACAATAATTTGCAATAGAAGTAAATAAAATCGTTTAAAGAGTATTATAATTCACCACTTTACGTACTCGTACATTATATTTATACTTTCTGATTGTGATAGTTATATTTAAAAAGTGTAAAGCTAAATATATCAACAGAAATCCACGGGTTTCTGCTTAAAAATAAAGAAATAAAAAAACTAGCGTATTAAACTTAATTAAAAACTTGCTTAATAAATCTAAAAAT